AGGGCGCTCGCGCGCGACCTTACGCGAGCAGCTTTCGCGCCAACGTCGGCGGAGATGACCCCGTTGTTCTTCCGTCGCTCATTCGGTGTTCTTCGAGGCGCTCCCTGTTTCGGGCGGGAACACAAATCTCGACGCGCGGCCTGGGGGCACGGACTTGTGCTCGAGCCTCCGGCCGGGCTCCTCCTCCTCCTCCTTCTCCTCCTCCCCGACCCCCCCTCACCCCTCCTATGCCACTCCTCCTCCTCCTCCTCCTCCTCCTCCTCCACCTCCTCCTCTTCCTCCTCCTCCTCCTCCTCCTCCTGTTCCTCCTCATCTTGCTCCTCCTCCTCCTCCTCCTCCTCCTCCTCCTCCTGGTCCTGGTCCTCCTCCTGATCCTTCCTCTGTTCCTCCTCCACCCCTCCTCCTGATAATCTCCTTCAACTGCTCCTCCTCCTCCTCCTCCTCCTCGTCCTCGTCCTGCTCCACGATTGCACAATACAAGTGCTGCTGTCTGCTCTCATCTGTCCCGCGCGGGGGGGCACCGCTCCCGCGCTGCCGTTCTGCATGCGCAGAGTGATCGCGCAGACGGTGATCAGTTCCGCGCTCGTTCGATCGCCATGGGCTGGGTCATTCGACATGGTTCTCCCGCTGCAGCGTTGGCCACAGAGGAGGAGGAGGAGGAGGAGGAGGAGGAGGAGGAGGAGGAGGAGGAGGAGGAGGAGGAGGGGGAGGGGGAGGAGGAGGAGGAGGAGGAGGAGGAGGAGGACTCCCGTCGTTCAGAGTGGCGTTTTCCGCCCAGGCGCGGGCCACGATCCGCCTCCTCCTTCTGCTGTTGCCACCCCCCCCGACTTCCCCCGGTCATGTTGCTCCTCCTGCTGCTGATATGCAGGGGAACACTAAAGGGAAATTAGGACACACAAATAAATGCACACACATAAAAATAGTCCCCATAGTTTCCCATATTTTCTGGGTTTTTGTCTTCCCCCCCAATTCCCATATTTTCCCATATTTTCCTGGGAATCTAGGATTAATTGTGTCTGTGTGTTTTTTTCCCTCCTGAAACACACCAACCTCTGAGGTCCGCGCGGATTTCTCGGATCGTCGCTAGACCACCCTCCCTGGCGAGCGGAGCCGCGCCAAGACAGCGCTGGAGGCGTCGCCAAGGTGGTTTCAGCGCCGATCCGAGACATCCGCGTGGACCTCCGGAAGGTGATGTTTATACCATAGCGTGTTCCCCGATCATCCTCCTCCCATACCTCCTGCTCCCCCGCAATCTCCACATCCACTGTACAAAGACTCCCCCTGTTGGCGCATCACGCGACGTGGTCATCTGCTGGAGGTCTTGGTCCACCAGGACTCCCCAAGGAGGGCAGAGGCGGCAAAAGTCAGCGCAGTGGGAAGGGATGGGCGGACGGGATGGGTAGGAAGCGACATGTCACGAGCGCACCTGCCCTTTGTCCTGGTTTCATCACCCTCTAACTCTCCTCCTCCTCCTCCTTCTCCTCCTCCTCCTCCTTCTCCTCCTCCTCCTCCTCCTCCACACCTCTCTCCTCCTCCTCCTCCTCCTCCTCCTCCTCCTCCTTCATCCTCCTTCATCCTCCTCCTCCTCCTCCAACTCATCCTCCTCCAATTCCTCCTTCTCCCACTCCTCCTCGTCCTCCTCCTTCTCCTCCTCCTCCTCATCATCATCATCCTCCTCCTCCCCCTCCTCCTCCTCCACCTTCTCCTCCTCCCCGTTAGTGTGGCATGAGACGAGCGGGTCACAAACGGCTGCCTCACGCCGACTGCCGAGCAGAGGCCGTAAGTCACATCTGTCTGCCCGCAGTCCTCACTCCTCACGGGTGCGATGCATCCCTGTGGATCGAGGCCTGGGGGGGAGGCTTCCAGCCTTTTTGACCTGGCAGTCCGTCTACCAGGGTTGCACTCGCCGCTTTTTGCTGCCACTGCTGGGACGGCGGATGCGGAAACGGGAGAGAGCAGGAGGAAGGAGGAGGAGAAGGAGAAAGAGAAGGAGGAGGAGGAGGAGGAGGAGGAAACGGACAACGGATGACGAGCAGAAGTAGGACGGTGGAGGCAAACGAGGAGGTAAAAGGTGGGGAGGATGAGGAGCAGGAGCAGCATGAGCGGGAAGCGAGGAGGAGGAGGAGGAAGAAGAAGAAGAAGAGGAGAAGGATAAGGAGGAAGAGGAGAGGGAGGAGGGCGAGGATGGGAAGGAGGAGGAGGGGGGGAGGAGGAGGAACAGACTGATGAGTGGGAGGAGCACGACGAGGAGGATGACAACAGGGAGGTGGGTGCGGAAGGGAGCGTTAGCTTCCAAGGCCGCGCCTCGTTGCCGCGCGCCCCGTGTGTGCGCGCGGCGCGATGGTCGCGCATGGAGCCGAGGGCTCTGCCACAGGCCTCATAACCTGGGGAACCTGACAGCACGTGCGGTCGGTCAGACGACAACGGGAGGTCCCCGACTGCTGCTGGCGGGCTTACAGGGCGGCGCCCTTCGGGGAGGCGCCCGCCGAGGAGATGCTGCGGCCCACCTCCGCAGGGAAACGGGTCCTGGACCCGGGTGCCTCCTCCCCGGCCGAGCGCTTCATCCCGAGGCGTCTTCTGACAGTCCCTGGGGCCCGTGCAGGGAGGGCCACGAGAGCCCGAAGACGGCGAGAAACGTCAGGACCCGTGCCCCCCAGGCCCCCGGCGTCATGAGTTTGGGCGGAACGTCGACCCCCAGGAGGTCTCGACCCTTTCAACAGGACCGGCTTTTCACCCCAAGTCGTTTTCGGACGATCCGGTGAGGCCCGGGGCGGTCCAGTCAGGGCCCCCAGAGGCCAAATGTAGCGAAAAACATCCTTCTGTGGCAACTCATGGGAGCCTCCCGTGCCATCTTGCCGGCTCTTTCGAATCGACGCTTGTCGACGCTAAATCGACGCTAACCGACGCTAAATCGACGCTAATCGACGCTAAATAGGCGCTAGATCATCGCCTCCCAGACGCTAAACAAAGCTAAACGACGCTAGAGACGGAATTAAGAGGGTATACCAGGCTCCCATGATTTGCTATCGATACCTTCCCGTCATGATTTCTTCGAGACCCGAGGGGGTCTGGGCTTAGGTCGGGCATGTCCTCTGACATTGGGTTTTTGGAGGCACGACAGGAAATGGTCAAACACAGTCGCACAAAATCAAAAAAAAAATAGGGACATCGTCCATAGAGACGATCTTTCGACGCTTCTCGAACATCCCTCCCGTCGAGGGACATACCCGACATAACTCTGAGTTTCGCCCCCCTGGCGGCCACCGCGTCCAGCAGGCACGGCGGGGCGCCGCCGCCGCCGCCGGGCGCCGGGCCGCCGCCGCGCAGCGCGGCCTCGATGGCGGCGGCCGCCTCTCGCGGACATCGTCGGGGGGCGAGGCGCGAGGCTCGGGGCGCGAGGCTCCTCTGAGGAGAGGAAAAAACACACAGACACAATTAATCCTCGATTCCCCAGAAAATATGGGAAAATATGGGAATTGGGCGGGAAGACAAAAACCCAGAAAATATAGGAAAATATGGAGAATAGTTTTATTTGTGTGTATTTATTTGTGTGTCCTGGGGTCCCTTGATCCTCGGGTGCCGCAGCTCCCAGACCCCCGCGAGTGATGGCAATCGTCGCGACGGGAGGTTTCTCGCTCTGTTCGGCCTCTGGGGGCCCTCGCCGGGCCTCGGGGCCGTCCAAAAAAACGGCTCGGGGTGAGACACCGGTCCCGGGGAATGGGTCCAGACCTCTGGGGGTCGCGTCCTGAAACATCGAGACGTCGGGGATCCGGGTTCCAGGATGGATGTTCGAGGGTCGAGGTCATCGAAGATGGAGGTTCGAAGATCGGATCGAAGGCGGGGGGTCGGGATTCGATCGGGGTTTCGAGGTTCGCGAATGGAGGGTCGATGTCGTCGAGGATCGAGGATCGAGGATCGAGAATAATACAAATCGGGTGGTCGAGGCTCAGTGACGGGTGGTCGAGGATCGAGGCCGGGTGGTCGGCCCGGTCGCGACAGAGAAGATGAAGCCAAGACCAGGACAGAATCGGACTGGGACGAATCGAAGTTCTCTGAGATCCCCCTGTTGTGGAGGATGTATTGGGCGCCGCGGCCGTTCTGGCACGCTCTGGACATCCCTTACCCTGAGGTCCGACAGCGGCAGCCCTCCCTGGCGTTGCTCGTCCTTTTTCGGAGGGACTGGGGACCCCCTGGCGTCGCGACGGACGGCTCTCTCGCCATCGCTCGGACGTCCATTCCCCGTGTTTGTAGATGTCGCGCGTGTGCTTTTCGCGAGATGGCCAGGGGCGTCCCTCGATGGTCTTCGCACCCAGAGAGAATGCCCTCGTCCGAGCCATGCCAAAGTCTCGACTGCTTTCAGGGTCTGGAGGCCCTCCCGGGCGCCAGGACCGTCGAAACCGACTCGCGACGAGCGATTCCATAAAAAAGCACCCCTAACCCTTCACGAGGGGACCGAAGTTAGGAGGGCCAGCAATATTAGGGATAGGGGGCCTTTTCTGCAGATGTACCAGGCCAGGCCGCCCAGATCTATTTTCCCTAATGTGAAGACGGGGACCTCAGTGAGGCCACGTCTTCATCGTGTTATCAGGTTTAGGGGTCCTTTCGTCCTCAAGGAGCGAAGCCAACCTCGGGGAGGTGGCCGAGATCGGGACGTTGCGGCAAAAACCACGCCGTCGGGGCTGTGGCGGCTTCTCGTCGCCACGGCGGCAGAATCCCCTTCTCGGAGCACGGACCACGGTGGACCCGGGGAGGGCTCCGGGGATCGATTCTGATCAGGCTCGGGCCGGGCGGCAGCGCCGCCGATTGAGGGGGAACGTTCTGGGGGTACCGGCTCAGCGGGGAAGCATCGACCTGCAGTCGGCGATGGATCGCCGATAGATCGGCGATGGGCCACCGATTTGTGAGTTCGCATGTTCTTGGGGTGGGGCTATCGGGCCCCCTATCGGCGACGAATGGGGGTCGATGCTTCCACCCGCGAGCCTGTTCCCCCCTGGCGTGGCCCCTGACGAGCCTCCCCGTGCTGCAGGCCGTCCAGGTCAAGGCTGAAGCCGCCGTCGTGCCTCACCTGGGGGAACCAAAAGGTACCGGTACCGATGCCGCTACTCCCCGGACCTTTCCCGGGGTGCGTTCTGACCAGAATTTCGAGGTGACTCCAGCGGTGGCGACGAGGGCCTCCGAGGAGGCCCCCAAAAGGGAAAACGAGACGAGGGTCGAGATATGGGTACCTCTTCCTCCTCTCATCACCATCAGCGGGAGCCACTGCCTGACGAGCTCCAGTTCGACCAGCAGCTCCTCCACGGTGGGCTCGTCGAGCATCTTCGCGACCTTCGTCCTCACGTGGAAGGCGTGGCCTTCCACCACCGCGGTCGTCGCCTCGCTGGGGCGGAACCCGGCGGGCCCGCTCTCGGTGGCAGGGCTCGCGAGGTCGCTCGGCACCTCGATGCCGTTCTCGCGCATGTACTCCGCGGTCGCGTTCATCGTGCCGATCTTCTCGAAGTTCGAATCGCCGATCGATATTACATTCTTCCAGCTCTGACCCTCGTACTGGGAGTAGAAGTCCCTGACCTCCTCGCTAATGGCTCTACCCTTGATCCCGCCCCAGAACTCCTCAAACTCCCGCATGTCCATGGCATTGACCTTCTCGCTGTCGACGGAGACACCATCCTGAGCGTGCACGATCTTCACGTGGAGCTCCTCCAGGATGTCGCCGATGCCTGGGTAGAACAATGTGCACGAGTCTGAGACCCAATTCCTCTTTGCCAGCGTGACGATGACCACCTTCCCGTACGAGGCGCAGAGGCGTAGGAGCCTCTCTGCCTTGGCTGCGCACTTCATGAGGTTGTTGAACACTTGCTTCTTGACCGGCGCTGGCAGCTTCTGGTCCCTGAGTGGCAGGGACAGCTTGAGCTTCATGTCGTTGCGGACATACGTCGAAGGAAAGAGGGTGTCGTCCCAGTCCAGAACGATCATTGTCTGATCCTTCTCGGCGAACATCGACTGCGAGTTGCGCGCCGCGGAGGCCCCGAGCCCCCGGAAGACCGCCAAGACCTTCGAGCGGCTGGGGCATGCGAAGCCGCTCGCGAGGCAAAGGTCGCGTTGCCCCTCCTTGCCCAGCCGGTAGTGGCTCTCCACGATCCCCGTCGCGTGCCAGTGCACCGTGGCCGCCTGCGAGCTCCGGCTCACGGACAGGATCCTGCCGGGCTTCCCCTCGCCGCCGTCCTCGCACCCCCACTTCCAGTCCGGGCCCCTGACCACCATCACGTCGGGCGAGGCGCTGCTCCTGCAGACGGGGTCTCCGGCTTGAAACACCTGCGCTGGGGCGCCGCGATCCTGGAGGGAGTGGAGGTACTCGTTGAACACGGTAGACGAGCCGGAGCGCGCCATCCTCTTCGACAACCCATCCGCCGCCGGCAGAGACGCCGCGCCTTCGCCAAGGTCCACTCGCTGGGCTGAGCTGCGGCTGCGGCAGATCGTCTGCAAGCCGCAGAGGAAGCTCATCTCGACTGCGGAGACCCCGTGGAGGTGACCCGAGACGCCCAGCCGGTGGGCAGACGGGCTACGGCGGAGCTTTGCAGCGACGCAGCCGGAGCCAAAATGGCTACGGAGAGCAGAACTGTTGGACTTCGCGGGCGGGGGTGGGGTGGGACAAAAATGCTAACCACCAGTGAGAACTGCACTCGAATCCGACTGGAGAGGGCACGCGAGAGGACACGAGACCCTTCCGAGGGCCACGTCGCTCCAGGCATGCAGGGGACATGAGAGGCGCGAACACACAGGACACAAGCGTACCCTTGAGATTTGGAAGGGCCGACCTGCGAAGAAACCGAGACTGCAAAGACGGGCCCGCAGCTGCCCTGAGACCCGCGTGGCCGCTGCCCTGCCTGCAACACTCAGCGCGCCGAATGAACCTTTTTTGGCGTCGGCGCCTAGGCAGAGTAACTGCGCTGGCGAAGGGCTAACGGGGGTGCCGTTGCAGCGAATTCTACCACCATGCAGGAGGAGGGGAGAGGGCAGAGGACGCGGCCGAAAAAAAAGGGAGAGGAGGGGAGCGCGCGCCGAACAAACAAATGAGCGGGTCCAGGGCCAAGGCAGGCCTCCACGTCTGAGGCCCACGCGGGGGTGGCGCGAGGGTGGGAGCCTGCTGAAGGCGGGGAGGCACGGGAGGCACGGGCCTTGTTAGAGGCGCCTGGGTGCTTCGAAGAAGGCTTCTCGGGAGGAGGAGGAGGAGGAGGAGGAGGAGGAGGAGGAGGAGGAGGAGGAGGAGGAGGAGGAGGAGGAGGAGTGGACGCCCGAAGTGGGTAAGGAAAACATGGGCACAAGGCCCAACAAGAAACGTTGTCCCGAACCAGCAGCGGCCGCTGGTGGGCAGGCGGCCTTCTGTCTCAAATGGACACGGGCCGCGGCGGCGCGGACAGCGAGTCCTGTACACAATGAACAGGGACTGTTGTTGGGCATTGTGCTCAGTCTTTCCGTACGCATTTCGCTCGTGCCGAAAGTTCCCCGAGTTCCCCCCGCGGAAAAAAAGCAGGCCGTTCAGAGAAGGAGGGGACATCGTGGGACGGGAGGGCTCCTATCAAAAAAGCCACGGGCCTCTAAAGAAGCCCCCGCGCCTTCCTAGGAGGCCGCCCCCCCGAATCACACCCTTCTGCGCGCCGCCATGAGAAAGAGGAGGAGGAGGAGGACGAGAACCAGGAGGGAAGAGGACGAAGAGCCTTGTAGGCCCCGCCACCGACGCAGACACGCAGGCCGCTGCCGGGCCGCACAGCAAGTGCTCTCCAAAACATGGCCCCGCAGCACTTCACAATCCGTGGTTGAGGGGCAACGGTAGGGGGGGACCGCCGGGGGGACTGGTACAAGGGGGAGGCGGGGACATCGACCTGGAATCGGCGATACTCCAAATCCCTTATTCATTGTCCCCCGGGTCCAATTTTTTAAGGTGCCTTTCTTGTAACTGGGGGGGTCCGGTTTATTCGGGCGCTTTCTTCGGATTGGAGCTTAGGGGGTCCGGATTATTAAGGCGCCCCGTCGACGAGGGGGGTCCGGAACATTAGGTCGCATTTGGAGGGGGGTCCGGGTTCTTAGGGGGGGTCGATTAACAAGGGACTTGGAGTAGGCCTCCGAGGGTGAAGCCGCACCTTCCTGGGCGGGGGGTGGGCCATCGGGCCCCCATCGGCGATCCATGGGCGATGGGGGGCCGGTGCGTCCCTCCCTGAGCCTGAGCCTGAGCCCGTCCCCCCCGACCGTTGTCTGGAACTTGGCCTGGCCGAGGTTTGCCACTCACGGCTTCGATGGCCCCGCCCCCCATGGACATGGACAGCAGCAGGAGGAGGAGGAGGAGGAGGAGGAGGAGGAAGAGGAGGAGGGAGGAGGGAGGAGAAGGAGGAGGAGGAGGAGGAGGAGGAGGAGGAGGAGGGAGGAGGAGGAGGAGGGAGGAGGGAGGAGGAGGAGGGAGGAGGAGTTGTAGCTACACCGACCCTTCCCGGGGAAACCTCGGCCCCGCTGGCCGACCAGACCTGCCCCCCCCGTGGCAGGCAGGGACACCGTCTCGTTGCCTGGCATCCGCCGCGCTGATCAATCCGCGGCCCTGGAGTAGGGAGCCCACAAAGGACCTACGCGCCCAGCCACGCAACTACACGAATACGGCCTGCCAGTCTGCGAGACCCGCCTCGTGATACGGACAGTGGCGCAGGGCGCATTTTCGAGACCAGCGTGGACTCATGTACGTACGTGTGCGTCCTTCTTTCGCTCCAGGCAGGGGTCCTCTAACGCTCCGCCGAAGGTAGCCTGTCGTCTCAGATCCACAGATGGATTGCCCCGGGGCCTGAACAAAACAGCCCCCGGGGGCCGACACAACTGCCTGAGAGCCTACCCAATCCCATCGTCCCAGATCTGGGTTCGGGTTTCGCATCACCCATCCTCACCCAGAGGGGAATGCTGGGAGAGCTACAGTGGAGGCCAGTCCACAAGAAACCTCCCACGAGAAACCCAACCCGAAGACCCCAGGGCGTCCACTGCTTGTTGGTGTGGGATTGTCACGTTTCCCATGGCAAAGCCATCGAACCCCAAGAAACCCAGGGCACCCTGGAGGCAAGCAGGGTGTTTCCTGGCATGGGTCCCCACTGCACCCCACGTGGCCTCGACCTGGCCCTCCGATGAGGCTCGACCCTGTACCTCCGGCGTCGTGTCCCTTTGAAGGGGCCCCAGGACACACAAATAAATACACACAAATAAAGAGACTCCCCATATTTTCCAATATTTTGGAATTTTCGTATTCCCCCTCACTTCCCATGGTTTCCCATATTTTCTGGGGAAAGGACGATTAACTGTGTCTGTGTTTTTTTTTCCCTCCTGACCCTTGCCCTCCACTTGGGCCCCCGATCGCGCCACCCAATCTGGCCTGGGTGGCAGCAGCCCCGGGAAGGCATTCGTGGGCGCGGTCGTGGAGGAAGAGGAGAAGAGGGCCATGACCGAGACCGAGCGGAACATGTCGGTGTCGATCCTGGTCGTCGTCCATCTTGGTCGTCGTCATGGCTCATCCTCGCAAGCGATTGCCGACACGGATCAAGACCAGGATCGGCGTCGACAAGATCTCGCGACATCTTCGTCATGGCCATCGTCCTTCTCCTTCGACGATCGGGGGCTACAAAGCAGCACACCATGCCGAATGAATCCAGGGAGTGAGCCAAACGTCCGGGCTGGAATATCGACTAGGACAACGACCAGACTGGGCTAGACCAGTACCGAGGAATAGCCAGGGCCGATGCACAATTCAACCTCAGAAGATGGTCGATGCCCGTGAATGGCTTTTTTGCCGCGCGCCGTTCTCTGTTCCCCTGGTGTCCGAGAACACCGAGATCGCGAAATAACACGCCTCGGGCATCTACTGACCTGGGTCAATCCAAACCGGGTCAGCCAGGCGATGCAAGATTCTGTAAGACCCTGCACCCAAGTCCGGGTCAATACACCCCTGGCTCTGCAGGATCCTGCAAGATACGGCGCTCTGACTGACCCCCGTTTGCGTTGCCCCCCGCCTCAAGGCATCCGAACACCCGTTGTGCGATTTTTGTCCCGCGACGCCTGGAAGTGGGGGCCATCTGCTCGTGCGTGACGAGAAGTGGCCCTAGCTTTGAATCGGGCGCGTCCCCCTACACGCGGATTTTGACGAAACATAAAAAAAACTACGGAAAATATTCCCCAAATATTCAAACATGGTAAAACATCGTCCCCAGACTATGTTTAAACTATTTTTGAATATTCCTCCTATAGAAGAACAAGCCAGGCTTTATCCTGGCTTCGGGTGCCCCCGGCTTCTCGCGCGCCACTTCGGGGCTCCGCGACGGAGCGGGGCCCGTCCGTCCTGGGATTCCGGTAGGCCTAATTACCACGAGATGCTGTTATAACGAATGCATGTACGAATCACTACAACAGTGTGCTTAGAAAGATGAATTTGAACAACGCGGCCTCAGCCAGAAATGCAACATAAATATTTCATACGAACCACACGAGGTTTGCAGAACATGATGTGGCGGGCCTACGGGCGAGCCGCCATGACGCTTCCCTACCGCTAGGCCCGAGGCACCCACTGGGCCTCGCGATGGGGTGCTCTGGAGACCACCTGGCCTTTCCCAGAAACGCTGGGGGGTGGGCGTGAGAGAGAGGCGGCCTTCCGAAGGCGGGGAGACTTCTAAGAAGGCAGGCGCGGCTCTTCTGGCTTCCAGGAAGCCCTCTTGCTCCCAACAAAGCCCCTGCCTCTTCGGACGCCGACCACCCCCCTCGCGCCACCCCCTTGTGGGCGCTTCCAAGTCTGCGCGCCCCAGTCCCAGACCTCCAGACTCCTGGATAACTCCCTGAAGATCTGTGCGCGTTAGAGATGCGAAGCCGGCTGGCAGAGGTAGCCCCGGAGATCGTGCCGGCTTTTCGACATCTTCCCCGCAGCGAGTGGCCCGAGATTGCAGCGTGTTCCGCGCGGGCTTACTTCCCAAGCGCACGCAATATATTCCCCGCCCCCTCACCAGGAGGCTGGGGACCCTCTGGCCCAGACGCCCGGCGCTGCCACGTTTCCACGGGGCCCGCTCCTCAGACCGCGTGGCCGCTCCGCCGACGGCCTGGCCCTACAGGGCCCGGCGAGGGCCCCCCAAAGCCGAAAGCGCATTCCAAGCCGCCCGCCGCGATTTTTCAGGACGGGAGGGAGGTCTGACGAGGGGCAACGATAGGGTTAGGTCGGGCCTGTCCCCCGACAAGGGGATTTTGGGCGAAAATTTGAAAATACCCCCAACATCTTCCCCATCATATTTTTGCATTATTTTCAAAGATCCCCCCTGTAGAGGGACAGGCCCGACTTCACGATAGGGGGGACTGGCATAGGGGGGCACACATTGACCTGAAGCAGGCGAGACCTCGCCGATAGATCGGCAATAGGCCTCCGATAATGAATCAGCCGGGGGTGGGCTATCAGGTTCCTATCGACGATCAGGAGAGGAAGAAAACACTGCATAAAC